TGGAAGGAGCGGGGGGTGGGGGGGGAAGAACATCTGGGATGGGGTGAGGAACCCATGGGATGAGTGAGGAACATCTGGGATGGGTTGGGATGGGGTGGGATGGGCAGGAGGACCCCCCTGCCCCCCGTGCCCACCCCACCCCTGCCCCCCAGGAGGGGCAGTGTCCTGGTGACCTACAAAGTCCTGCTGGACCCCCTGCCTGGACACGACTCCACCTGGGACCACCGAGCCCTGGACCTTCTAGCCAGGACCACCAGCGCCCCCCAACCCCTCAACTGCAGCCGTGGGGCTGGTAGGTCCCCACCTGCCTGGTCTTGGTGGCCGTATCTCAGGTGGCTTCTGTTGGCTTCATCTTCATCCTCTTCCTCATCCTCATTCTCATCCTCTTCCTCATCCTCTTCCTCATCCTCATCCTCTTCCTCATCCTCTTCCTCATCCTCATCCTCTTCCTCATCCTCTTCGTCATCCTCTTCCTCATCCTCTTCCTCATCCTCATCCACATCCTCATCCTCATCCTCATCCTCATCCTCATCCTCCAAGGTCTTTGCTTCACCATCACCTCCTCCAGGAGGACAAACCACCCTGAGCTCTCAGGACTCAACGCCACTGGTGGGTGGGATGATGGGATGGGATGGGATGGGATGGGATGGGATGGGATGGGATGGGATGGGATGGGATGATGGGATGGGATGATGGGATTGGATGGGATGATGGGATGGGATGATGGGATGAGATGATGGGATGATGGGATGGGATGATGGGACCACCCTGGGGGGGGTGGTGGAAGGGATGATGAGGACCTTGACCTTGACCTTCTGGGTGGCCCCTCCCTGTCCCCAGAGCTCTGCAGGAGGTTCACACCCACCAACTTCAGCCACTTCTACTACCCCCACCGCACCCCCGGGGGCTTCTTCTGCGTCACCAACTGCACCCCCAACCTGCCTGGCTCCTTCGACTGCCACCAAGGACAATGTCAACTCACCCTGGAGGGCCCCAAGTGCTTGTGGGTGGTGGTTCCACCTCCCCGCTTTCAAGCCCCACCCCCCCAAGTCCCTCCTTGACCCCGAACTTGGACCTTCAACCCAAGTTGGATCTTCTCTTGGGGGGATTGAGGTTGAGATTTGAGCCCTGGGGTGGCCTCCAAGGTCAACCTTTGACCCCAGAGGTCAACCTTTGACCTCCAAGACCCAATCCTTGGCCCCACATGTCAACCCATGACCCCCAAGACCCAACCCTTGACCCCAAGACCCAACTCTTGACCCCACATGTCAACCCTTGACCCCCAACACCCAACCCTTGGCCCCACATGTCAACTCATGACCCCCAAGACCCAACCCTTGACCCCAAGACCCAACTCTTGACCCCACATGTCAACCCTTGACCCCCAACATCCATCCCTTGACTCCAACAACCAACCCATGACCCCCCAACACCCGACCCATGACCTCCAACACCCAACCCTTGACCCCAGATGTCAACCTTTGACCTCCAAGACCCAACCCTAGACCCCCAACAACCAACCCTTGACCTCCAACACCCAACCCTTGACCTCCAACATCTAACCTTTGACCTCCAAGACCCAACCCATGACCCCCAACACCCAACCCTTGACCCCAGATGTCAACCCTTCATCTCCAACACCCAACCCTTGACCCCAGATATCAACCCTTGACCTCCAACACCCAACCCATGACCCCAAAACCCAACCCATGACCTCCAACACCCGACTCTTGACCCCAAGACCCAACCCATGACCTTCAAGACCCAACCCTTGACCCCCAAAACCCAACCCTTGATCTCAGATGTCAGCCCTTGACCTCCAACAACCAACCCTTGACCTCCAACACCCAACCCTTGACCCCAGATGTCAACCCTTGACCTCCAAGACCCAACCCTTGACCTCCAAGTCCCAATCCATGACCCCCAACACCCAACCCTTGACCCCAGATGTCAATCCTTGACCTCCAAGTCCCAATCCATGACCCAAGACCCAACCCTTGACCCCCACCACCCAACCCTTGACCTCTACCACCAAACCCTTGACCCCACCACCCAACGTCAACCCCCCAATCCCACCTTCACCCCCAATCCCCTTCCCCCTCCCCCCCATGGACCTTCTCCCCCTGCCTCGTTCCCCCCTCCCAG